TTCCCACCTGTCAGTCTATCCCCAGCCTTGAACTTCCTAGAAATTATCTAACAGGGAGTACTGAAACAAATTAACCCCTTTTCTGCTGTTAGACAGCTGTTCATGTTTTTCCATGATGCTGACAAGGACTCTAAAAGCCATCTGCTTGGCGGAGGCCATGCTCACTGTAGGAACCCTCTCTGAAACACAGTTCCATGCTTAGATAAGGTGCAATGATTACAAACAAGTCACATATTATTGGTCCATTTCCTTATGAATGCTTTCAAAGTATGCATTTGGCAAACCCTGTTCAACCTTTGGCTCCAAGTCAAGTCCTGGAAGATACGATTACTGTTCTCTGCCCCCCAGAAGGATCTGCAAGAACAAGAAAAGAGATGGAGAGAGTCTTCTTTTCCACCTGCATGCCTCTGTGCAGAGGTTAACATCTCCCAGGTTATAAAGCGTCATATCTTCTATGATACAGAAATATTATATTGTCCCAATATGGTTGGGGATGAGTTGTCTGCTACACAGATACATGTCAGCTATGAAAGCCAGCCCACAAATGGCTACAGCTTCATCTCATTTCTTCTAACAGCACATGAAACTTAATAGTTTTCATTTATTCTGTTCAATTTAGAACTTGATGGGCCAATGAGCAGGAGAAATGTGGGTCAAAATGTTTACCAGTTTATCTTTCTAGTGCTTTTACAAGTCAACCAAAGGGTGAAAGGGGGCAGAATTATTTAATACTGTCCTCCCTCTGCTCCAACCAAGGGCCTCGGCAGACGACTAATAAAGTCATCTCCGAGGCCTGGAAGAGGAGGGGCAGCCGCACGCGCGGCGCCCCTTCCTCTTCCCGAGGTTGCCCACGGAGCTGCCGGCCCTCCGCACGGCCGGTGCTCAGGAGGCAACCTCCCGCCGCAGCGTCCTCACACGCTGTGGTGGAAAAGGCAGAGAAAGTGCGCCCTACGCTTTTAGGGCGCACTTTCCCTGTCTTCTAAAAGGAGCGCCAATTTGGCGCTCCTTTCAGGGACGCCGCAGGAGCGCCACGGTGCGGAGGCAGCGGTCCCGCGGCGCTCCGTCCGGCGGCGTCCTGGAAGCACTCGTGTGCTTCCCCCCCAAGTTAAAGCATAGGCAGGCATCATTAAGTGTCCAGCATGATGAACTAGCTTTTAAAAAGTATATATGGAGCAGTGCCAAAATATTAAAGAAACCACTTTGATGGATTTAGTAATGGTATTGACCGTCTGTCATTTAAAAGGAAACTGCATGTTTAATCTCTCCCATTATTTACTTTGCAAACTGATTAGATACTGAGAATTAAGTGAACTCTATGGGGCACAGCTAGTATTGTAAAGCAGAGGTACATCCTTGATTGAGAGCTGTAACTTTCCAATAACATATTGGAAAGGAGAGAATTCTCAACTGACATATAAAAAAATTTAAATCTGTGTATGATTAATTGAACCTAAATCCTACACATACCTACCCAATTGTATATCCTCCAACACTTCATAGATGAAAACTGGGACACATGTGGCCAAGCAACATCTGGGAGTAGTCAAAATAGCAAAAGTTATTATCAAAGAAGAACACACAGGCTAAGAGAAACTGCAGCAGTTTGGTTTTGCCTGAGCCAAGTGGGAAAGGCAGGATTTTACCTTGTCCTCACCTCTCCTCCCTCCTGTGAGTTGACTTGAGTGCAAACTACTTGTGCACTATGAATTCAGTTTGCAGCAACGGAAGTATGCTGAGGAGAAAGGAAGAAAGTGGGAGCAGGAGAGAGCAATTGGGACATTTTAAAAGCAGAAAAGTGGTATGACGCTTAATTGAGACTGCCCTTATCAGTTGGAAGGTATGCCATTGTAGTTTTTCTTCACAATATTAATAATCAGCTTTCTAGGAGCTAATGGCTACTTTTTAAACTGTAAGAATAAGTTGCTTCATACATCATCTAGCAGTGGATAATATATAAAAATTATAACTGATTGGGCCTCAGTTCAGTAGGAGAGCACATTCATACAGCACAGAAAGTTCAAGTCATACCGTTTTAGTGAAAGGGAGCACTAGGAAGAGTGGCAGAAAAAGACAAAGAAATAATAATTAACAGAGTACAGTAGATAATCCATTAAAAACAACTTAATGACAATATAATTTCCAAAATGAGAATCTGAATTCTTTTCATTTTCAACATTTAGACAGCTGTGTTCCACTGTGTTAATGCTGGGCCAGGATGGATTGGAGGGTTGACAGGACCATAGAATCATAGAGCTGGAAATGACCTCAAGGGCCATCCAGTTCGATGCCCTGCCATGAGATCTGGGGAAGCTCTTTTCTCAGTCCTACTATCCTCACATGCACATCTGGGGAAAACATAGGAGAGGCCCTTTTCAGTAACTGCTCCCAAGCTCTGGAACTCTCTTCCTAAAAAGGTAAACTGGCACCCTCTTTGCTATAATTTTGTAGCCAGGTGTAGACATTTTCATTTCAGCAGCCCTTTGATGGTTGATTGTTTAGGAGGAAAAGGCCATTTCAGAATGTGCCTTGCTTTTCACTCAATAATGTTTTTTCTTAATGCTCTTGCTTTAAACTGCTTTCAATTCTATTGTTAGTTTAATTATATTTTTAATTTTTATATGATACAAATTTTACAGCTGTATCTCTTTTTACCTGGGGGGGAAAGCAAGATATGGCAGCAGGGAGGGAGAGGAGATGAGGGGGAGTTGTCCTGTGGAGACGATTCCCTGCATAAAGTCAACAGACATATATCCCTGTGTATACTTTTACATCTGTATCTGCTTTGTCTGGTTAGATACATTTGGAAGGAACTTTTGTTAGATCAACAGTTTTAGGTTTTTCAAAACTGAGGTGTTTAGGCTACAATCTTGTTTTTCCAGGAATGTGTTCCAGGGGTCACAGAAAGCAGCAGATCTCTCCCTCTGTGGTCTTTGAAACTCCAGCTTTGAAGGAAAACTGCCATGCCAGATACCTCCTGAGCATTTCCTTTAGCCAAAGGGGTCATAAAAGGGGAGAAAATCTGATTACTAATAAGGCTCTTTAGTTCTAAGGATACAAGAATACCGTTGTAGATACATGACAGGAGTACAACAAAATGTAGAGAACAAAACCAAGATTAATTCAAATCAAATTTTCACAAGATGTTGTTTTGGCTTCCAGTCATTTCTGATTTCTGCTGACCCTAAGGCAAGCCTATCACAAGTTTTTCTTGGCAAGGTTTGTTCAGTGGGGGTTTGCCAATGTTAACCTTGTTAACCTTGAGAATGTTACTGCTCAAGGTTACCCACTGGGTTTCCATGGCTGAACAAGGATTTGAAACCTGGTTTCCCACAATCCTAATTCAAAACTCAAACCACTACACTATGTTGGCTCATACACAAGAACACAAACAGGCTTAAAAGGCCTGTTTCGATCCATGGGGAAGGCAGGTAAGAAATAACAACAAAAACAACAACAACATAATGCAGAAAGATCATGGTTGGAGTTCACTGTTGTAGTTACAAATGTATAACCTAGAGTTTTGTATTGAATACTGATTTGTATTCTAAATATTCAAAACTGTAGGGATTATTTAAGAGATCTTAAATGTTCCCCAGTCCTGATTTACTGGGCAACAACCACTGCAAATGAGATCATTTTCTCCTGTTGATACAGATGCAGTAGATTGATGTTTCCAATCCCCTCCCACAAGTGATCTCAGGTGTGACAGTCAGAAGCAGAATCCCTGTCACAATTACTCTTTGCATCGATGATCGATCACTCATGGGAGGAGGGTTGGAGCATCAATCTGCTGTATACAATTGACAGGAGGACAGACCCTTGTTGCTTGCAGTGACTGCTGTGTGGGGCAGGTCAGGATTGGGGAGGTTGGGCTGGAAGATGCTCCTTAGATACATAACTAAGGTAGTTATGTATCTAAGTAGCTGATCTAGAATGTCAGCCCATGTTTTAGCAGCATTGAAGAAACTACAGAGGGTTTTCACATTGGCCTTTCTATTCTCAGCTTGGGACTCAAATTTTGGGAGAGGAGCAAGGTTGTGCATTATTGGATGGCAATGAGAACAGATGTTTTATCTGTTGGATCTACAGAACTCTTTGCTTTCAGCACAGGGGAAAATTTAGACCAGGACCAATTGTTTAAAAATATTAATTCAAAGGGGTAAAGCAGCTAGAAATTCATATTTACTTCACAGCTGAACTTTGGATAGATCACAGTGCTCTATTTATCAGGCATCCTATCCTTAATATTACTGCTGAGGAAGGGATGGAAAAAGTATAAGCAAGGGTGTCTGTAAGCATCAAGAGCCATAAAAACAGCATTGGGGGCTATGTGTGACCCCCAAGGCCACCCATTGCTTACCTTTTTGGGAGGATAAAATCCCACCAAAGCTGTCCTGAACCTCTTGATATAAATACAATGGCTGGCAACTTGTTAGGTTTCCTGTTATGTATTTACATAATCACAAATGGACTTACAAGCTTCTAAAGGTGAACTGCAACTGTGTAATGTCCAGAAGGGAGGTAGAGATGCCGGTAAGTCTTTGAGACCATTGCACAAGTTGAGCCAGAAAGCCAATGGCTCCCATGTGCAATGGACATCATAACAGTATGCACGATGGGATACTGCATGAGACACTTCAAAATAAATGGTTGCAGTTCACTCAAAGGGTTGCATATCATGTCAGGGATGTAGCTGTGCCACTATACGGTTCTCTTTCCCCACCATCTATATATAAACTCTCACTGTTGACCATGTAGGTTGCCAAGGGTTAATCACTTTCAGCATTGTTAAATCTAACAGCATTCATCATTTAGCTATAAACTGTTTTATATATTTTAGCATAAACTAATTGGTTTTTACCAACATGTCTGGGCAATTTATCAATTATCAGGAACAGCATGGCTTGGGGGCTGTATTGCATCCTTCTCTTCATATAGTAGAAACAGCAATAGCAACCTGATTTCAGCTTCTTCTTCACTTATTTTATTCTCTCCCTAAAGTCAGAGTGGCATAGTGGTTTGAGCATTGGACTTTGACTCTGGAGATCAGGGTTTGATTCCTAATCTGCTGTGAAACCCACTGGGTGACCTTGGTCAGGTCACAGACTTTCAGCCTCAGGGGAAGGTAATGGCAAGCTTCCTCTGAACAAATCTTGCGAAGAAAACCTATGATAGGAATCCCAACAGTCAGAAACAACTTGGAAGGCACACAAACAACAAACAACAAAAGTTCATCCAGTTTATCAACTGTTCTATCTGATCCAATCAAAACAAAGGCAATTACAGTACCTCATGTATATTACCAAACCTCCCCCCCCATCAGATTTTTTGGAAATAATACAAAGAAATCCGTGTAGAGCTAGATCTTGACTTTTGGCTGCCTTCCATCAGATTACATCAGTTATTGCTTCTAGGAGGTTATTAACTACTAGGACAGTCAAAACTGCTTGTATTTCAGTGCTGATAGAAAAGCAGGCATTCTCAACTTTGTTCACATTTAATAGGTGTTCTACTTGGCATTAGTCTATCTCTTTGTTCACAGTAACACACACATGCACATTCTAATACACATAGCTCAACTTACTCAAACACTTACTCAAATGTGACTATATGTTATACTGAGAGCTATGTGTATTAGAATGTGCGTGTGTGTGTTACTGTGAACAAAGAGATAGACTAATGCCAAGTAGAACACCTTAGTGGTTTGAGCATTGGACTACAGTTCTGAAGATCAGGGTCCAATTCCTTGCTCAAGCATAAAAAACCACTGGGCGACCTTGGGCAAGTTACACTTTGTCAGCCTCAGAAGATGGCAATGACAAACCCCCTCTGAAGAAACTTGCCAAGAAAACCCTATTATACATTCAATTTAGGGTTATCATAAGTAAAAAATGACTTGGAAACACACAACAACAATAAAATATAGTTTATAATTAAATGCTATATGCACTCTATAGATATATTCCCAGGCCTCAAAGTTGGCAACCCAAATAAACCTGTCCTGAAACAGCATATCTATAAAAGCCCATGTCTCTCCTCATTTGGTCTGTATAAATGAAAAGATTAATTCTGCTTGATTGAAGAAACAGCAGGATCAGAAAGATAACATCTGTGGGTATCTTGCCCCTCAACCAGTAAAAGAAAGAAGAGATGAGGTTAGACTTCATATTCTCATTAGAATGCCAAGATGGGAGGGGGGGCAGCCCATATCAGCTTTATATACAGCATTCAAGATACCGTATTTTCCGGCATATAAGATGACCCGGCGTATAAGACGAC